AGGGAGAACAGGAACACAAGTAGGGGGAATGGGAGAGAAACAGGCTTTCCACCAAGCAGGGAGCCTGTTGCGGGGCTCGATCCCAGGATCCTGGGATCACGACCCAAGCTGAAGGCAGACGCTTAACGACTGAAACACCCAGGTGCCCCGTGAATCTACTTTTTATAATATCTGTGCAGATAGATACTTACATAGTTCCTGGACATTGACACAGGAGTAATGCTGTCATTAACAGAACAGCAAGGTGTTCAACTCACATAAACACTGCAACTTACCAGAGAATAGGAAGAACTACTGCCTAATGAAGCATTATTTCCAAGAACTTATATTTCTAACATTGTTACATTCCTGGGCACATTTAATTTTGGAATATGTGATGTAGTTTATAGCGCTTTAAGAAAGAGAGTTGGGCTTGTCAGAATGACTTGTCTGACATACCCAGAACCACTTGTTTTTCTTTCAACTACAGTATTGAAGAGATTCATTGGGAAGTATTCAGATTATAGCTGTGTGACCCCACAATTTGAGGGAATGCTTTTACCATTTACCTGTTTGTCCCTTATCATCAAATATAATGGCTGAGGCTATACAGTTACTGTGAAGTATGATATTTAAAGTGATGAAAAGGTTGGTTCTAGAGTGAGTGCTAGATAATAATTCCTGAATCTTCTTCCCTTAGACAATTAGGTCTCCATCTTTCAGTCATAGTTTAGTTGTGGTTCTGCCTTGAGCAAGGGGTGTATTTTTTTTTTTAAGTTTTATTAAAATGGTTGACTTCAATATCTAAAAAATCAAGATTTATTTTGGTGGGGTAAGATTTTTATACTATTTAAAAGATTAAAATATATATCCAAGAAATGACAGAAATTCCAGGTGGTCTGAATCTGCCTAGACCACTGGGTGAGCTTTTTAAAAATATACATACATGCCATGATCCTATAGACTTACTGAATCAGAATCTCAAAGGTAGGGCTTAGGCCATATGTTTTGAAGAGCTCCCTGGGTGTTTCTGATGAACACCACTTACCTAATGGGTACTCATTCAGGTGGGTGCATGAGATGCCTAAAACCAGATCTTTGGCCACAGGTCACATTTTGAAGCAGAGTGTGCCTTCCCCATACCTCTCTTACATCCTCATCCCCAAACACTCAGTTCTTAAACTCATTCATAGCTTTATCATCACCACCATCACAGAGTTTACAGAATGATGACTTTACATTTATGTAACCGTTTCAAAACAGTTTTTATAGGTTACACCTGATGAGCAGAATAGTAGTATAAAAATGTTTTGTATTCTAGAGGGGTACCTGGGTGGCTCAGTTGGTTAAGCATCTGCCTTCAGCTCAGGTCGTGATCCCAGCATCCTGGGATTGAGCCCCACATTGGGCTCCCTTCTCGGTGTGGAGTGTGCTTCTCCGTCTGCCTCTGCCCCTACCCCTGCTCGTGTTCCCTCGCTCTCTCTTTTTCTCTCTCAAATAAATAAATAAAATCTTTAAAAAAAAGTTTTGGGACGCCTGGGTGACTCAGTTGATTAAGCCTCTGCCTTCATCTCAGGTCATGATCCTGGGGTCCTGGGATGGAGCCCTACATCGAGGTCCCTGCTCTGCAGGGAGTTTGCTTCTCCTTCTGCCTGCTGCTCCCCCTGCTTGTGTTCTTGATCTTTCTCTCTCTGTCAAGTAAATAAATAAAATCTTTAAAAAAAAATTTTTTTTGCGTTCTAGAGATTTTAAATTTAAGTTCAGGGTCTAATTTTTTTAATAAATATTTCACCATGAAGTCTACCTGTATTTTTTTTTTTAAAGATTTATTTATTTGAGAGAGAGTGCACACATATGAGCTGGGGGGGGAAGGGCAGAGGGAGAGAATCTTCAAGCAGACTCCCCACTGAGCGCAGAGCCCGAGGGGGATAGGTGCTCGATCTCACAACCCATGAGATCATGACCTGAGCTGAAACCAAGAGTCAGAGGCTTAACTGACTGAGCCACCCAGGCGCCCCTACCTATTTTTTAATAAAGTAATATATTTTCTTTTCTCACTTCCTTTGTACCTATGGAATTTTTTAAATGACCACATTATTTGTATTGATTGTGCATTTTCCTCTTGTCTTCATTTTCTGAAATAGATTTTAATGCAGAATAAAGACTGGAGTGGTTACATATATAAATTTACAGGTGACTAAACCTATATATATAACCTATATGTATGGTGTTTGTTGATTACTCATTTCAGGTTACCATTATACTGATAATTAGTTTATAGAAATTCCATAAACTGCCATCTAGTGCAGAATTATGGAGTATTTCTCTTTTTTAATGCTGGGAGAAAAGAAAATTGGAGATACAATAATTTTCCTGTGGTTTAAATACTGATACATTAAAAATAAATGACTTTTCTATTTCTCTTTAACCTTTGTGCATATTTCTCATTCATATTGAGAAATCTCTGAAGTAAAGATTAGCAAGAATCTGCTCTAGACAAGAATCAGGAATCTTATAAAGAACTGAATAATAAAAAGCTTCTGAATCACATGAGACTCCTTATTGTGGGAGAAAGCCAAAGACTTTCAGGGTTTCTATGTAAATATTACTTTGATAGGGATAGTGGTTGTCCATGTAAAGTTTACTCTTTCAGTGTCCTCCCTGGCTTTGGATTACCAGAATGACATCTTTAAGTATAATTCTTTTTTTTTTTTAAGATTTTATTTATTAATTTGACAGAAAGACACTCAGCGAGAGAGGGAACACAAGCAGGGGGAGTTGGAGAGGGAGAAGCAGGCTTCCCGCTGAGCAGGGAGCCCAATGTGGGGCTCGATCCGGGGACCCTGGAATCATGACCTGAGCCAAAGGCAGACGCTTAACTACTGAGCCACCCAGGGCACCCCTTTAAGTGTAATTCTTCATGGTGGTAATAATTGTATCTACTATTTATATAGTGCTTACTGTTCTAAGTATTTTAACTTATTTAATCCTCCTGACAACTTTGAGAAGTAATTGCTATTACTATCTCCGTTTGACAGATGAGAAAACTGAGTCATAAAGCAGTTTGGTAGCTCTCCCCAAGTCACTCAGTAAGTTGTTGAGCCAGGATTCCAACTCAACGGAAGTCTGACTGTGAGTCCATACTTAACCACAAAACAATACAAAAGACTTGTACCAAAGAATACTATCTGGAACTTCTGAAAAGTCTATTTTTGTCATAGGTTTTTAATAAGAAGAAATTCACCTGAGGGAAGTCTTAGTGTAAAAGGTATTTCAAGTTTAGAGAGTAGTATACTTTTTTAAATGTCGTGAAATTTACATATCATGAATTGCACGGATCTTAAATTTACATATCATGAATTGCAATTCAGTAAGTTTTGACAAAGGTAGATGCCAATA